TGAATGTTTTCACTACAGACGTTTCTTTGACTCTTGAAAAGTACATAGAAAAGTGCGAAGTATGTAGATTTTCCAACCTTCAAGAATGGTGATATATTAAAGAATACCTGGCCTCGAAATTTGAATTTCGAATTCCATGAAATTCAGATCTTTGGGATACCACCGTACTGATGAATTTTGACTGAACCTTGGGCAAGATATTTTTCAATTCTACTCCTGCAATTTATAGCTTATTTAAATATTATATTCGAATCATTTATTCTGGAATTCAGCTGACAGTTTTATTTGTAAGTTTAATCTCCAGTGAACCAACTGGTGAAACACATACAAATCTGTGACTCTTTTGAAGGTACAGTCAGCCCTTGATTTAGTGCCACTCTATTGCATAATGCCACATATTTCCCTGGGGAAAATCTCCCTTCATTATCTTCTTAAGGAAAACCTTGAATCAGTGCCAACTCACTCAGTGCCACAAGAAATATTTGTCATGTTTAAAAAAAGGGCAAAAATTGAAGTGAACAGGCATTTTTCCAAGGATTCCTTGGATTATAAGACTTTTGACTGAGAATCACATCCCCATCATGCTGACATAAAACTCAGGATAAACGCGGAAAATCCATTTGTCAATTTACGTTAATGGAATTTTGTTTGCATGCTATACCCTCCCTCATTAAAAAAAAAAAAAAGTTGAAGCTTTCGTGATGGGAACATTTTTGATTCCTTCATGATGGCACTTCATATAAAACTAACTCAAATGTACACAAAATCTTGAGAAACAGCTGTGATCTTTTACTATATGTCATATGTTTAAGAGTATAAAAAATGCTGCCTTGATGCGTATTCTGAAATAAAATATTTAAAAATACCTTCAAACTTCAAATTATTCATCTTGACTTTTTCTCTTACAAAACATGCTGACCAAACTAAAAATTGTGTGAACAAGCTCATCTTTCCTATAAAGGAAACTCTAAAGAGGTCCTCCCTCTCAAAGAATACCCTCAATTTAGTGCCATTCTTGCTTAGTACCACAAAATGTGCCAAAAGAAATAGTGGCACCAAATAAGGGGTTGAATGTATTTGTTTTCTCTGTATATGTGGCATCTGCTCAAAAACTACATGGCAGTCGATGAAAGTGAGTTAAAGCATTTTGAAGAACTCTGAGTCAGAAGACTATACAACGTATGGTTGCTTCAAAAGTGGAAAATATTGACATAATTCAAAAAGGCTTACGCGACGTTTTTATGTTTGACAACGAACAACATGGAAAAAGGGCATTTGATTGAAAAAGTTTTTGTGATTGAGTTCGAAAAAGGAAAGTCATAATGATTCCAATCTGATGTCATAGGTTTGAATAATTTTTTCCCCTCAAAAATTTAGAACATAAAAGCTCAAAAGTTGAGGCAGCATTTCTTCATCTATGTAAATCTCATTTTGTTTCTTTTTTCCTTTTTCAGCCTGGGATTCATCAGTGTTGTGGTTTTTTGTTTTGTTTTTTCATGACGGGGTCGGCAACTCATTGGTCTAGGTATTGATCCCTGTGGGAAATATCTATTATTCTTTGGGGATCAACAAAAGCACCCGTTGTTGGGCTGGTCGGGATCGCTGAACGCATTCTTGATTAATTATTCAGATGCCGGGGCGCGTTGAGACCAGGTTTCCGCTTGTTCCGGTCCGGAACCCGCGTGATCTATTACCAAAGTCGGTGGGAACTAATGGCCCCTGTTTTTTCAATTATCTTCCGGAAAAGACGCTATATTTCAACTTAATCCCCGACTGCGAGTCGGTTTCACAACTAACGGAGCTTCTTCTAGAAATGAGTTGCTTATAATGCGATTATTGCAAGCTCCTCTTATTATGCGATGTTTTCTTTGCTGCATTTTCGGGTCTCGCACTTATTCTCATTTTCTCCGCGTTCCGATTCGAACACTATATAGAGCAGGGCATAATCATGTTTTAAAAGTTTTTGCAATCCACTAGGTTTAATAATTTGAAATTACTTCGAGTCATCGCCAGCTGCCTTCTATTCCGGTTAATGGAGAAATCGCCAAAAACGTACGCTGGACAATAACAAGACATAAATTCAGCAAGCTACCACTGAATCTAATCGACGAACACATTTTACAGACTTGCTGTAATCAAAGAGACTTTTAAAAATAATTAGTTATTCATATGATTATTCTAGCTCAGAAAGTTAGAAGGCATGCTTTGACTCGAAGTATAAAACCCCTTTTGGCTGTTCTTTTAACGATTTTTCGAATGAACAGCGTTTTCGAGACCCGAGTAACCGAGATTTTTTGAGCTTATGTGAATAAAAACTTTCTGCACGCTTGAATTCGGAGAGAAGTGCCATTAAATGCCAACAAATCACGGAAATTTCTTGTCATGTACTCGTATGCCTGAATTTTTTTTATTCAAATGCACAAAAATTACAGCGATTCGTGCTGAATAACAAAAGGATTTTTACCGAATAAGTCACAAGTACCGCGTAAAAGAATGTGGAACGTCTGCAGTTAAATTTTGGAGACAGCACCAACAGGAATTTTGTGGCTTCTGCATGAGGTAAAGGGATTGTATTCTACTCACTTGAATAATATGCAATTGTGTTTCCTTGTTCTGCAGCTATCCCAGACCATTTACCTATTCAAGTCTCGTTCATTTATTCCTCAGTGCTGCATTTACTTGAAAGTGAAGAAATGCAGTGCTAAAAAACAAGTTTTGGGTCGTCGGGTATGTGGTGATGCATACTTGTATAAAAAAACGCATTATTGACCCATACTCGAAACTGAGTTGATCCGGGTATAAATTATTGAAAGACGCGATTATTGAAGTTTTTCCCGATATTTTTTTGTTTTGCTGTGCAATGCTATTGTCTGAACCAATTTAAAATAATTGATGCATGATCGACGAGAAAGGAGTTAACGCATCTGTAGGATCTCATGTAAAGAAAAATAAAATTTCAAATGTTATAGCAATATAAATTGTGTTCTTCTGCGTTGAGGAAAAGCTTAACGTCACCCTGGAAATTTATGAAATAGCACAAAATGAATATAAAATCTTCAAAACGGCACAATTGTTTTTACTAAAAACAGTATCAGAATCGAAGGAAGACCACCAAAAAGAGAAAAGGGAAAAAGCGTCAGGTTATTCTTATAGCACAACAAAATGAAACGAAAATGTAAAACGAAAAGAAAAAGTTATAATTAATTACTGACAGAGGGGAACGATATTAATCGAGTCATATATATTATGCAAAGTCACGCAGGCCATTCAAAGACCTCCTAATACCACGACTAAAATTATTTGCACAAGTCGGATGATCCATTTTCACCTCATTTACCAAAAAGTGTTTGCATTGAGAATTGCAATGTGTTTGTGCGAACACGTCCAGGTATCAATTGGGTCTCTTTTAGCATATTTATGCAGACAATGGGCATATTGAAGTTCTCCTGAATTTTAAATTTATACTCGACATCGAACTTTTATTAATTTTGTTCCTCTTCGAATTTATCGTCATTTATCGACTAATTCTAAATATCTTAGTGAAATATTTTATCAATAGGCGTTACAGTATTTGTCAATATTGGAAATTTCTATACGCATACAGGAAATTAACGTTTGATGTTTTTGGTTGAATGATACACTTGAAATAAAGGTCAACTTGAAAAAAATCAATGCAATTGGTTCATTGAAAAGCTTGAATCAGCACTTATATACAGTAGCAACAAAATGTAACAAGTACAGCCGGAAAAATAAAATAAAATGAATAAAAAAATCAGCACCAAAGACTGTGTAACGATACGAATCAAGGAACAAAGCAAAGGGTCATTGCGGATCGCAATCCAGCAAATGCCTTCTCCCCATTCCATCGACCAGTCTGGCGAAACCTTACTTGTTCTACGACCCCCAGCGGCCGGAACCCCCCCAATATTCTACTTTTTTCGGGGGGTTTTATTACACGCTGGCTGCTCGCAGCGCTGCATGTGCTGCAGTGAGCGTGAATTTATATGCAAACAAGGTGCGCATTAACCCGGCTTATTCCAATGAAACGTGGCGTGAAATTGGGTTCAATTGAAGGTCGGTCTGGGGGCTGGTGGGCGGAAAACCGTATTCCCTGAACTCGGGGATTTCTTATTCACCCGACACAGCCGAATTTTATACAGGAAAGAAAAGGGGGTGATGGGCGGCTTACCTGATCGTGCCGAAGTTTTTGGAATTTTCGTGAATACATATCTTTCCGCGGATGAGTGAGGAAATTTGCAGAAATTCTGACTCCCCTGCAACTTTCCAGTTGACTAGAGTAATAAGTACCGGCCCTCAGTATTTACTAGGTCGTCGTCTTCTCTTGTCGCTCGCAGACGATTAGTCGATTTAGTAAAACACTTTTTACTTTAAATGGCAACTTATTAAGCACTTAAGGGTGCGAGTGATCATACAACTTTCTGTTTTTAGATTCCCTCGATAGAACCAATCCGACGTGATTAATTAAGCATTGATGAACTGCAAATTTCTCGAGGATAACCAACGTTTTATCAATTTTTTTTAAAATTGCGAAATATCTGTGTACTCATTTCAACTGATGAAGCTTTAGATTCTTAAGCAATATTCGGATGATGAAATACATTTGTGCATCAATACATAAATTGAGATCTATTTCTAAATAATTCAACAATGTTTACCACTAAGATTAATCTGAAATCATGACAAATATCAAATTACGGAAGTTGAGCATCCACATTTTGAAAATGTGGAAGCATTTCGGAATAACTGAACTTCTCGAATATTCAGTCGAAGTGAAATGGTGGTCAACTCATAAAATTTTTTGCGGGAAAATGACCAGAACTCTTTCTTTTTCAGGTTTAATTTGCAATGAATTGTGTTTTCTTGAAAACCGGTGACCCCTGTGAAGTATACATAGACAAAAGTGTATGGTTTATCGAATGTTGTATCTTGTTTTAGAACCAAGTGTCAGTGTTATGTGTCAAGAAATCGCCGGCCAACTTCATTCATTTTGGAGCATGGAAACATGAAGGTGCGTCTAATAATCACATAAATACTCTATTATTATGCACACCTGAATCGGTCGGAAATAGCGAAAAAATTGCTTCATTCGGAGCTGATAAACGTTGCACGATGCCAGCTGTCAGAAACGAATTCTTTCTCCATTCGAAGTGACAAAAGATTCTTGTTCCTGTTCAACCGTTGGCATCAATGTAGAGCATATATTTTTTCTTTTTTTTTGTCCTGGATGACAGTTGGGGAGGCGGAAATTCCGCATTTTTTTGGAAAATGCATTTCAAATTTATTTTTGAAAACTCCGTTGTTCAATATCCAGCAGATCCGAAAAAAGCTGATGAATGACAGAAATTAGCGGGAGGACTTCTTCCAGGTTGGTTTTTGTAAGTTTTACAGTGGTTTTTTGTTGTTGTTGAAGGACGTCATAAGTAAATGTAAGAAGTTCATTAGGCAAGTAATTAGGTATTGACACAAAATGCCTCATTTGTAAGTTTGAAACCCCTAAACGGAGTGTTATGATATATGGTGACTTAGAACAAAATGGCTGATCTAAAGAGGTCTATTGAAAGTGACTTTCATAAACGGTTTAAATACATAGTTATTTGAACAACTTATTAAAATAATTAAATAACAGCGCGTAGAGTATAGTAGCAAAAAGCTCCGGCTCCAAAGAAAAACAATATTCTCAAGGCAATGAAACGTTTAAAAAATAATTGTATGCTCTTAAAAAAGTATGCTGTCGCCCAGATTTTACAGGGCAACTGCGAATACGATGCATCGGTTTTCATGCGGTTCACTATCCGAACCGGAAATCGGTGACGCAAGGCGAGTCCATCTTGCAAAACAAGCCATTATGCGAAACCAGAATTATCGCATGAACCCCTTTACAATGCTGTACTTGATTAAACGTGGTATATTTCGCTGACGGCGAGAAATTAAAGCGCCCCGCGATAAATTGACATCATGAGACAGCTGGCTGGGGGATGAGTTTTCAGAATGAGGGTTACTTTAAAAATAAACACTGACTCAAAACAGAGGGTAGAGAGGGGGGAAACTTAGACCCAGCGATTGAGACTTTGATTTACGACGGGTAGGGCTTGCTTATTTTTCTCTTTCGAGGCGTCGAGACGGAAAAATATCGGTCATATATACTTCGCGCCCTGAGAAGCAGCCGTGATGCATCGAAGTCGAGGCAGTTTGAGAAATCACCAACTCGACCCACTTCTTGTCCCTTTAAAAAATACAGGACACACACACACACACCGGGACCAAGGGTGTGACCTGAGATGGATTCCCGGGGTGGAAGTTATCGGCAGGATCGCCATGATCCCCGTCATGGCGAGAAAGCCCGGACCTGGCGTCGTATATATTGGCAGCAGGCGGACGACGAAATGCCCGGGTTCTGGGTTCTGGTGGGGAAAATAAGTAAAACGAAACAAGAAATAACCCCCTGATGCCCCCGATTCGTGATGTTTTTTGTTTTGTTTATAGCTGCGTTATTTGAGGGTGAATTGGGAACAAAAGGGGGGAAGAAAACTGCTGCGAAACCGAGAATCGAGCGGAGAAATACCGGATCGGATTTCAAGTACCTGACAAAGTAGCAGGGCGAGCTCTTGAGGTTCACTCAGCACTTCAGCGAGATTTTATGGAAATCCGGAATGCAATACGATTCTGTACGTGTTTACGAGTACAGTACAGTATAGGGAACACAGACAAACGCCCCAGGCAAGGACTTGAAATGAAGAACACGTGGATCATGAGGATATATGTGGAACACGACATGAAGCATATATTTTTTTTATAGACGTGTCTGGAAAGATTTTCAGACGCGCCTGGTCCATGTCCATACGAGTCGGATTCAAAATTGCGGAAATTTCAAAGCCCACCAGACGAATATATTATAGTGAACCTCATCAATTGGAGAAATTTGCTCGAATTTGAGCGGAAAACAGGTTTATAGAAGAGCGTCGAAGAGCACATGCTTGTTTGATTATCGAATTCTTGATGCATGGAATTTCATGATTAATTTTGCAAACTTCAACGTTTTCTGATTCTTCGCAAGCCATCAAGAATTATTCAATCGTTTGCCATGACACAGGGCATGCATATCGTTCTGGATAATTTTTTTCCAGTTCTAGAGAATCCAACATCAATATCTACACGATCTATCGTAATTCAATTCTTTCTTATGTCAGGTTTTGAATATTTAGCTCATCTACGTGGATTCAAATGGTTCTCAGCTGGTGGATTTCGTATGGGTTCAAAACTGAATTATTGATGCATCTGTGATTTTTTTTCTTCGAGTTTTTATTCAGAATTCAATCAAAACCTTTTATATTAAATATTATATGGCTAGTTTTCAAGGTTCATCCTTGTGTTTCCCTGGGTGAAACTGAAAATTATCATGCAATTTTTCAAATGAAACAATGCTTTGTTAAGTGGGAAACTGTTTATGGGAAAGACTATGGGAAACTTTTCATAGTCTTTCGGGGATAGCAGCTCATATGTGTATGTGAATGGTATGTCAGCAATTTCAAATTTTAATTCAATTTTAGTGACGACGGATTTGTCTTTCAAGAAGAAACAGTTTTCATCCTTTTTATCGAAAAAAAAAATCCAGGAAACATCCGCTTAATCAAGCTGTTCCAGTGGTGAGGCAATTCTTTGTGAACTCCTTTCCTAGCTTAGAAAAAGTGTCCTGCCTGACAACGAATTGCTGATGCTCAAGGATAATTTTTATTTGAATTAATGCAAATTTCGAATTTCAAATTAAACCTTGATTCCATCGCAGAAAACCATTGCACGATGACCTTCGACGACCGCGCTATAAATTATGAAGTGGGCTTCGTTTTTCGTGGCAGTCAGTGGACGTTTGCGTAGTTATGCATGATCCAATTTTCCACTCATACAGTGAGACCCCAAGATGTGGACGTAATCAGTGCATCACAAGAGTGTCCCTAAGTCAAAATGTCCCTAAGTTGAGTATCATTTTCCCTTAAACTTAAATTATATAATTTTAATTGGCGTTTTATTTACAAAATACTCACCATAATTCCATGGAAATAAAAATGGTGTCCCAATTTAAACTGATTCCAATCAATATATTTCAACGCAATATGGACATTTGGGAATTGAATACTGATACCTCTGTACAGTATAGAAATGTTGAATCCTTTGTGAAAAATAGCATTCAATTGAAAAAGAGAGAAGGAAATCCCTCTACATCCCTCTATGCTGGAGTTCATTTTTTTAAACTAGCTAAATGGATGGTGAATTGGCAAGAGAATTGCCCAAGAACTTTTCTTACATGTATCAGTTTTATTAGCATTGGAAATATCTGTTTCTTTTAATTTGGCCTGAAACCTATTTGCAATTTTATCACAAAATGTCTGTATGTCAAGTCAGTCTCCTCATGTTGGGCCTTTTTTATTAATTTTTAATGGGAAAATAAGTTTCCCAATGTCAATTTGTCCACATGTCAAGGTGTCCGCGTGTGGGGGTCTCACGGTATTGTCTAGTATATATAATTTTGTTTTAAATTTTAATCCTATTTCTCGAACGTCAGACGCCAAAAAACCGACAATTTCGAAGGACTTCATACATGGAGCAATAGGTGAACTTGGACGTATATTCCGTCGGAGTCGATTTTCTGACCAGCCCAGGAGTTTACCCCCGTCGTCTGCGCGACTCGTCTCCACCCCCGCCCGCAATGCTGCCTGCCTTTATCCTCCAGAGAATCTCTCTAAATCAGGCATTTCCCCTCTGACCGGCCTGCAAGTCAGGTCCTCACACAGTGCGTTTCCTGTCGTCTCGGTCAGTTCATCAACTATACGCGAAAAAAGAGAATAAATTTAGAATGAAACAAGAAACGAGAGGGGGAAAAAAAGAGAAAAATGCGGGGGTTTCGAAATCGGAAGGCTTCTTCCGCATTGCCCGGTGTTGTGAGCTTCGCGTTGTGCGGGTTCTGATTTATGCACCCCTGTGGCCCTTCTTGTTTCCCCTTGCTCTATACCCCCCTCTCTAGTGCACCGTCGGTTCTGCAAAGAGGAATAGACACTTGGTATGTTTTTTTTCCCTCTCTTTGTTTTATATTTTCTTGTTTTTAAGGGCAGTCCCCCTCTTCACGAGTATGTTGTGTGGACTGGAGACGGAAATATAGTGTAGCATACCATACTTGCCGCAGTCCCACTGTGTGTGCGTGACGTGTTGTCTGGGATCGCGGGCTTGAAAATCTCGGAGGCCGATGTAGGTGGAAAGATTGAATCTGCACCTGTTTTATCAATCGGGTATTTTTCTGGGCATTTGTCATCAACTGCTTCCGGAGAAGAGGTCCTTGTTGTTTCCGTTTTCGTCACTGCACTGCATGATGCAAAAAAAAAAAAAAATCTTCGAAGTTTCGCCAAGAGTTTGTGTCCGGAAAGAATAGACTGTACTGCATCATTTCAGCTCGCAACGGCTAGTCCTATACAATACATTAGTCAGCGCTTGAGATACAGGATCACATATTTCTGCGTTCATCCATATTCTGTTTATCGAGTTTACTCATCAATGTGCTCGAAAATTCTCCGCAAGTCTGGAATATTAATAGCAGTCTTCACGGCGATGCATACATTTTTAAAGAAAAATATCTCCGTGACTTTGTTTCTGTCTGCAAAGCACTGGATAAAATTTAGTGATGGAAAACACTTCGCCGATTCGGTGTCAGATTCAATAATTCTTGGGAATATATGTGAAAAGATCGATTAATGATTTTTTTGTGGAGGCGTTTTATTTTTCGTTTGTTCCGATCTCACCAGACGTGAGTACTGTTTAGGAATAAACAAATTAGTGATGAAAATATTATATTGATTTTGTCATCTAGAATAATAATGTTCCCCAACCCATGCTGGGCCATGGACTGACACTGGTCCGCAGAAGTTTTCTGACAGTATGTCTGGATTTTTTTTTAGCATATTCAATTTATCAAAAGTATCAATGAAATCTGTTATCATTCTCTCACATTTTGTGAAGTACGGGCAGCTGAAATTATCTGATGAAAAATATACCTTGGCTTTTCTCCTAATAGCACTTCAGACGAATTTTCACGTGCTGCAAGAAATTATTTTAATTTCTCATCCAGATGAGCAAACTTTTCGAGCCCTCCTTTCTAATTTGTTGAAGACATCCCACGACAGCTGCTTCATATTGCTGGTTGTTAACTTAATTTTTGCAAAAAAGTAGAAACCTTTTAAATGCCTGCCATAAAGTTTATGAATAAACCCACCATTGTTGGGTCTGCAACAATTTTTAAAACTTTGCTAGTCTGCAGAAACATTTATGGAAATTTGTTGGTCTGCTGGCCTAGAAAAGGTTGGATAACACTGATCTTGAAAACATAGATGTACAGTTGTACATCCGATTACAAGAAGAAAAAATCAATGATGGTTACATGAATTTAAAAAAGACAGAAAAATCCCGAGAATCACTTACGAGATACGAGATCATTGAAATGGTAGAAAAGAGAGCAAATATTTTCTTCCCACATACTGTATATCCAATTCGAGCATATTATAGTCGTAAAGAAAATGCCCGAGATTTATGCTGAGAGGCACATTTCTATTTTGACACGAAATGACTGAACGTATAAATAAACTATTGAATCAGGCAATGCTTGATATCAACAATGGGCGTTTTATTCACCGAGCACATAGAGGAGTAAATGCGGAAAACGCAAAGGGACGCAAGGGAGCAGAGGGTAACCGAGTTTCTTCTTTCCCTCGGGGCCTAAGTACCCCATAAAATATTTTAACGCGTTCCTTGTTTTATCATAAAATAAAAGATGGGAATCGGAGATAAATTTTATGGCTTGGCCTCACTAAGATCTCTCCATATGTGCTTCAGTCCATCTCTTGTGTTTCCTCAAGTAGGAGTTGCGCTCTCGTTTTTTTTTTTTTTTTTTCCCCTCTCGTTTCTTGTTTCATTCTAAATTTATTCTCCTTTTTTTCGNTTTTTTTTTTTTTTTTTTTTTTTTTTGCGGCATTTTTTTTTCCACACGCGCTTTTCGTTTCATCTTTTTTTTTTCTTTCGCCTGCCGGTTTCTTTTGAGTCGTGCTATATGCATGCTCTTATGAATCTTCTAAAAATAAAGATCAGGGAAGATATTTTCTCGTTCTTTTTTGTTGATGTTGCGGCTGAAGGAAATGGTGAGAGTTTGGTTGCCGTAAAAACCTTGGAACAGGAAGAAAAGAAGAGAAGGAGTAAACGTGAAACGTATTCCGTTCCATCATCAGATCTTACGCATGAACATTCATCATATTCAAAAGATTGATAATATCTTTTCTGTTTTCGCTTTTAGCGGCACAGCAAGATTTAAGATCCTGATGACAGCAGTCACAACTAACAGTCTTACTAAAATCCTTCGGTGACGAATAATGTTTACATTTTCCGCGCAGATATTTTTTGAAAGAAGGAAACCGAAATAAGTGAGCATTTTCGCGTGGAAGGGAAAATCATCTCAATTCTTTATTCGATTGATAATTTTGTGTGTGTACAGTATTGATTACGTTGTCTGTCCTAAACGTTTTACCGTTGGAGTAAATAATAGAGCGCGTTTTGTTGCATATAATTAATGTTCATCTCAGAGTCATATTAATATCAATGCTGATCCCCAAGTGTGTGATGAACGATAATGAAGTCAAATTTGTATTAGTTTTTCTCAAGATTTTATCATGATTAATCATTTCTATCAACTTCAAAAAATGACGCGTAATCACCGAGCTCATTGAACGAAAGCTTGGCCATTTTATTTCGTTATTTCAACGCGATGTTCAATTTGGGATCGAATGCTGCCCATTTGTATTTTTCCTCGCGTAAAAAATCGCAAATTTCATCAAATATAAAGCAGCCATCCTTTTTCCCGAGATAAAATAACTCCGTTTGCATAAAACATGCTCATTCACACCATCAGTGACCATAAGAGATGTAATGGTTTGTTTGGCCATGA